CTTCTCTTTATCTATTCAATCTGTATGCTAAACAAATCACTGGAGAAGCTGGACTATAAGAAGAAGAATGTGACATCAGGATTGGAGGGAAACTCATAAATAAGGTTTGGTTTGCAGATTACACAATCTTTTTTGTTCAAAGTGAAGAGAACTTGAAACACTTGCTGCAGAAGATCAAACAGTACAGCACTCAAAATGGATTGCATCTCAACATCAGGAAAACAAAGATTCTCCCCAGTGGACCAACAGGCAATATTTTGCAACATCAAGATCAAGAAAAGACTGGAACTGTCAGTACCATCATCTTTCTTAGATCCACAAACATACACATGGTGCCAGCAGTCAGGAAATCAAGAGACATAGTGTACTGGGAAATTCTTCACTCAGGGACTGCTCCATATTACTGAAGAGTAATGATGTTAGTTTGAGGACTAAGGTGCACCTGATTCAGAGCATGTTCTTTTTCAGTCACTTGCTATGCATTTGAGAGCTGGACAATTAATATGGATGACAGAAGAAAAACTATTCCCTTTGAGTTGTGTTGTTTGAAAAGAGTACTGAATATTTCATGAACTGCCAAAAGAACAAACAGATGCCTTGGAGAAGGTCAAGTCAGTGCTACTTGGAGACAAGGATGGTAAAGCTCTGTCTTGTATACTCTGGACATGCTTAGAGGAGAGGCTATTTCTTGGAGAGGGACAACATACTTGGAAAAGTGGAGGGAAGGTAAAGGAGAGGAAGACCTCAACTAGATGGACTGACATAGTGACTGCAGCAATGGACTTATATGTGACAGAGATTGTGAGGTTGGCACAGGATAGGATGGGGCTCAGACCTGTTTTTGATAGAATTGTTGAGAGTCATATTTGACTCGAAATCACTGAAAAAGGCACCAATCACTGAAAGCAAAAACGAAGAAGCTGAGAATTCCTACCAATTTTTGCTGTCTGAAATTGATGCAACATGCAATCAAGGCATGCTAATAATAACTGTGGACTAGAATTAAAAAATTAGAAACAAAAAAGAGTAACAAATAGAATGACAGAATTCTGTGCAATTTATTCACTGCAAACACTTAAAAAAAATCAACAGGAACTATACACACAGACCTCACCTTACAAATGTCACAGGAGTCAGACTGACTATATCTGTGTAAGCGTTGACTGAGAAACTCAGTAGCAGCAGTCAAAACAAGGCCCGGAGATAACTGGCACAGACCATCAACTACTCATGTGCAAATTAAAAATGAAGAATATTAAAACAAGACCATGCGAGCCAAAATAGAACCTTTACTTTTTCTCAACTGAATTTAAAATTCATCTCAAGAATTGTTTTGATGCACAGAACATGAATAACCAAAGAGCTCTGGGATGACATCAAGGACACCATACATGAGAAAAGGGAAAGCTCATTATAAAGACAAGGAAGAAAGAAAGACCAAAATGGTTGTCGGAAGAATATGAACGTAGAAAAGACAAAACAAAAAGAACACTGAAGCAAGAGAGCTGAACAGAAGATCTCAAAGGGTAATTCAAGAAGACAAAGCAAAAAAATTCAACAAAATAGTCACTGACTTGGAATTAGAAAAACCAAAAGGGAAGAATATGCTCAGCAGTTCATTTCTCAAACTGGAAGAACAAACTGAAGGCTCGAGTTTCAGTGGTGAAGGATTCTATGGGCAGTATCTTGAATGATACAAAGCATGAAAAGGAAAAGGAAGAAATACAGAGTCACTGTACCGAAAGAAATGGGAGATAAGGAATCAATTCAGAAAGTGGCATATGATCCAGAACCAGTAGTAATGAAGGAAGAAGTCCAAGCTGTACTGAAGGCAATGACAAAAAATTAGGCCCCAGGAATTGATGAGATATCAATTTTGGGATTGATTTTGGAATTGATGGGATGGATGTCTGTTTCAACAGACATAGCCTTGGTTGTGCTTATTAATCTATGCCAAGAAACTGGGAAGATAGTAACTTGGCTAACAGAGTTCCACGTGTTTCCACTCCGAAAGAAGGTGAGCTAAGAATGTGAACATCACTGAACCGTATCAATGCCACATCTTTCTTCCTTGGAGCAGCTGGTGGGTTCAAACCACCGACACTTCAGTTATCAGCCTAAATGCTTAACCACTACAGCATGAGGCTCCTTGTCTTCTCTTCACTCCCTACCTTACTCTGTGTTGGCAGGATGCGTTATGTGTTAAACTGCCAACTGAAAGGGCAGTGGTTCAGGTTCACCAGCCACACTCTGGGCAAATATAGAAATAATCTCCTCATGTAAGGATTTACAGCCTCAGAAACCCAGCAGAATTACAGTTGACACAATGGCAGGGTTTTTGTTGTTCACTTTGTGCTACTCTGCAATTCTCCTGGCGCTAGGTACCTCTCAGATGTCGATGACACCAAGTTCTATGCATTCAGGTACTGTTTCTCCCCTCCTCCCCCCCAATTATGCATCATCAAAACAGCTCCAACTGGCACAGGAGGAGATTGCCCCTCATTCTCCACTGGAGCATCTGGTGGATTTGAACAGCAAGTTTTCAGGACTGCAGTACAGCTTCTTGCCACTAGGACACCAGAGCTCCCAGGTATTGTTTCTCTTTAACATGGTACTATTATTTCCATTTGGTTACCTCATGTGTCCATCTACGTTTTCTACATAAGGCTCAAAGTTGGTATACCGAAACTTAAGCATCTACTCCGTATTTGGGGCATGTTGTTAGGAGAGGCTATGCCTTGGAAGGAGGAGAGTCTGCAAAGGAGAAGACGACCCTCAGTGAGATAGACTGACACTGACTGCAGCAGTGGGCTCAAATTTGTCGAGGGTGATGAGGATGGTGGAGGGTAGGACAGGGCTCAGATCTGTTGTCCACAGGGTTGCTATGAGTTGTACTCAATTTGACAGCACTTAACAGCAACTCCATCAAGTTTTGCCTTGCTTATATTTGCTGCTGTTAGTAAAATCCCACCTTTCCCAACTAGCCATCCTCGGCAGAGAGCCCCAGCCCTCCTTGCCTCCTCTCACTTCTTTACCTTTCCTATTCAATCTTTCACATGTTCTATTGATTGTTTTTCTAACTCTGGTTCAGGACGGACATCAATTTTGTTTCTAGATGATTCCATAACTGCCCACTTAGTCTACCTACTCTGGCCCTTCACTCTTCTAAATTCTTCACGACAAAGCTGCCAGAGCCGACTCTTGATAATGTGGTCTGATTACACGATCCTTTGCTTTAAATACTTTAGTTGCTTCTCATCTCCTTCTGAACAAAGATTAAATATTTTCTAAGAAACAGAAGGCCTTTTACAACCTAACATAGCAGCTTCATTTCCCTATGTTACTCAACTCATATTCCACACTCTAGTCACTGAACTTCTCAAATGCCATGCTCATTTGCAATTCTAGATACACTTCACATGTAAATTTTTCTACTTGGAATGACATTCTCTTCTTTTAAAACTCCAACCTCAAACTTCTTTGTGAACCCACCCAAGTCTTTCTCTCAAACTAAAAACTCAAGCTTACTGTCAATGCGTCATTTCCAACTTGCAATGCTCCATCAGGTTTCTAAGGCTGTAAATTCTAATGAGAGGAGACTGCTCATCTTTCTTCCATGGAGAAGCTGGTGGATTTGAACTGCTGGAGATGCAGTAATTTGGCTAGCAGCACAACAGCTTAAGGATTAGGTCGTCTGCACTCCTTAACCTTCACTGTCTTTCACTGCCACTAAATTGGTACCATCTCATACCTGACCCTTCACCGAGCTTCCAAGACTGTAAACCACATAGGAGGGGATTGCCCATCTTTCTCCTGTGGAGTGGATGGTGGACTGGAACCTCCAGAGAGGCTTGAACTTTGGTTCACAGAGTTCCCTACAGCTATGCCACCAGAGAGCCTTTAACTCTCCAATCAAAGGGGAAGTGGCAGTGATTATCAGCCCTACCAACCTGGCAAGGCTCCTGGGAAAAGCAAGGGTGATGGGAGATTTGAAAGAAAACACACACTTCACAAACAGCAGGTAATCTTAGGATTATTGAATATATTTTTAAATGTTTGGGGTTTTTTGTCAAAAAGCAAAAGGTGGGTACATCTTTTATATTACGTTTCCTGACTTTTGCCTAAATTCATTCTCCCTATGCATTGAAAAACTCAAAGCTTACAATGGAAGTCATCTCATTGTAGAATACACTGATCCCTTCACAAATTTTATTGAGAACCAACTATAAATATAACATTCTAACAAAAGATTATGCAATGTATACTTGGAGATTCAGCACTATATGAAGGCTTAGCCTCAAGACATTTCTGATTAAATAGTCTCTCGGCGAAGTACTGATATGTACACTTACCTTGAAGAAAGGCAGATTCTCATTACAGATACACATACACTACAAAGGACATTTGAAAAGTGAAGACACAGCACGAACACACACTGTGACAGCCCTGTAGGCAGGGCAGCATGTGACACCCCTTTTCAGGACACAACCACTGTGTTCCCAACAGGAACAGGAAATAGGAAAAGATCTGAAAATATCAATCTCTTTAGCCACATATGCAGAAAAGAGTAATTGCAAATGACACACGGAACAGTACTTAGATGTGCCAGCACATGTTAGAGGAAGGAGTGAAGAGTATCAGGTTTGGGATAGGCTTTGCATAGAGTCAATGAACAGAGGCAGGAAGGTCCAGTGTGAGCAAAAGGAAAGAAGGTGGCTGCCTCCCTGTGGGGTCACAGCAAGTAAGAAACTGTTGACATACAATATGAGCCATAATTCTCAGTATCTTTCTTTGGAGGGAAAAATCTGCATAAAACTTCCAACTGAGGAAAGTTTTAAATAGGTCAATATTATGTAGTTAAAAAAGAAATCAGGAATACAATGGGAAAATTTCTACACCAAATACAGTGGACTGTGTTGTCAGTTATATGTGAATTAGTTTCTACATCATACTTTCCAATATGCTTACCATCAACTCACTGGAAACTATTTAGCACTTACCGTTTATTTGGATCCTTTATTAAGAGCCCTGAAAGCAAAGATTTTGCATCTGAAGAGAGTGTTCTGGGGAATTTAATGTCCTCCATGAGTATGAGTTCAAAAAGCTTCTCATGGTCCTGGTTGTAGAAAGGTAGGCGCCCACACATCATCTCATACATGACCACCCCAAGGCCCCACCAGTCCACAGCTCTGCCATAGTCGTTATCTTCTAACACCTGGAACAATAGAGTGAGAAGATGCATCATTCACTAAACGCTGAACTAGAACACCAAGTATAACAAGGTCAGGACATGAAAATGAACCACAACTGCAAATACCTCCCACAGACCTGACATATATATAAATAACAAAAGGCCAAGTCTCTTAAAAATACCCACCAAACCCACTGGCATTAAGTCAATTTAGTTGTATATCTGGTTTTCCCAACACCAACTACACATAATGACTCACTGCAAGATCTCACCAAGTAAAGAGCACAGAATGTATCTTCCACAATTTTCAATTAAAGAGCATGGCAACCATGAAAAGAAATTTGAAAGTCTTCAGAGGCCTCTCCACATTGAAACGGTTTCAGAAATATTTAATCAAAGAAATGAATACTAATGTTGTATTGTTTAGATTACAATAAACTTTAATATCGAAAGTCCTTCCTAATAAAAGTTTCTGTTAAACATAGAGAACAAAAGTCACAAGCTCACTGGCTAAATGATTTGTTTCAAAAAATACATTATATCCAAAATAAGTTCATCAAAGAACCAGCTAGGTTATGTGGTGCACCCAACTTAAATGCAACCTGGCAGCTTGTCATTTATTTTAAAAAAAAGTAATATTATCCGTTTTTTAGGTCCCTCCCTCTTTCTTCATCTGCAGAACTGTATTTGATAATACATAACCAATATTTGATCTGATAAATCTTAGAGCTTATTTATTTGATCCTCTCAGTTTAGGGAAAATCAGATTAGAAAATCAGAAGCGAGTATTGGGCAGCGGCATCCAACTGTCCTGATGGGTGGGTTGGAGGGAAACCAGTATATGGGTGAGGCAGAGAAAGAAACTCTGGGAGCAACCAGTGACAGCGTGGCCTGGACTACTCTCCTGTCTGGAGCACTAAACTGAGGCCCCTCCACCTGGAAGCCCACCCCACCTCCCACCTGGCCCCACTGCCTGGACCCCCTAACTTGCCAAATGGAGGACCCAACCCTGCCATCTTGAAACCCTCACCCATCACCGGGATACCCTAACCCGGACACCTAAGGACGTGGCCCCACCACCTGAAACACTGCCTGAATGTCCCGGCCTCATCACATGGAGGATGACTCACTACTTCCCCTCTGAACTGTGTCAGGGACAACAATATCACATGCAGGTGAAGCCATCCCAACTCCTAGCTTGAGCTGCCTTTAGCCCCAGGCCCTTTGGACCCACCTTGCTGCAGCAGTTCCCTGAGAAGAAGGCTGCTAATCCACAGGTCCTATCTCTCCCCAAGTGAAGCAAGTTTTCTTTTAAGTCAAAAAGATCAGAGAGAAACTCAGGCAGGATAACTGTCCCACCCTCCTCTGGAGCAGTGACTTGCTGACTGAATGCTATCAGACCAAGAGCCTGCTAAGACCTCAAGCATGAAAAATTCTACCACAGGAATGGCATGGAAGAAGCAGACTACCTCAAGTTCTACATAAAACGCAAAACAAGATGTTGTTGTTGTTGTTGTTGTTGTTATGTGAAATCGAGTCATTTCCAACTCATAGAGACCCTATGCACAACAGCTCTAAACCCTGCTCTATCCTGCGCCAACCACACCGCCTCTGACACACCCATCCCGATTACCCCAGT